TAAGCCAGTCTCAGAGTTCTGGTGCACAGCCCCTTTTTTGGCAGAAGAGGACTTTTTGGCCACTAGTCCATTGTCATCCTTGATCTTCTTGAGCCGGGCTTTGCTCTTGGGTGGGGTGGAGAAGGTAAGAGAACTCTTGTTGAACTCAAGTGGGAAGACACCTACATCTCCATCAAAGCGATTCTTGGACACTTGGAGATAGCGCTTCCCTGGCCCAGTCACCAGCTTCCTATCCTGCAGGATCAGAACATTGTCTGCCTCTTGGCTTGCCTAAAGGAGAGGCAGGAGAAAGAACACATAGGAGAGAAAGAAAGGTTGAGGGTGTGGGGAGGAGTGGCAAGAACGGGAAAAGGAGGGGCTGGAGAGATGGCCCAGGAGCTAAGAGCACTGGCTGCTCTTTCAGAGGACCCAGGTTCAATTGCCAGAACCTACAGTTCACAACTGTAATTCCAGTCCTGGGAATCCAATGCGTCCTTCTATGGGCACCAATATGGACATGGTGCACAGACATCTGCCTCTGCCTCTGCCTCTCCGAGTGCTCGGATTAAAGGCATGTGCTACCACAGCTGGCTACCACCAATTTTTTTAACTTCTGCACTATTCTTGTTCCATATTTGTTTTCAAAGTGACATAGATTTTGATCCTCAACCTACCTAGCTCAGGCCTTATATGTAAAAGGAATTCGGAAGACCACTGGAGACACTGGGATGGAGCTGGTCCTGTGCTCTAAAAGGCCTTCCCATTTATCTATCTATCCACCTATTTTTAAAAAATTTATGTACATTGGTATTTTGTCTGCATTTATGTCTGTGTGAGGGTGTCAGATTCCCTGGAACTGTAGTTAGACAGTTGTGAGCTACCATGTGGGTGCTGGGAATTGAACACAAGCCCCCCTGGCCTTCCTATTTATTTGATGATCAGACATTTACTATATGGAAACCTCAGTATGACTGTTGTTGGTATGGCCACTAGGCAGTCTCCCCAGATGTCACAGGATAACTCCCCAAGAACTAGTGTGCTTATCACAGCTCTCATCCCACTAAGCTGCAATCAGATGTGAGCTCCTAGAGGCAAAGAACCAACTACCATCCCTTGCTCCTCATGTCAGCCCCCAGAGCCACTGCCTCTTGCTTTTCTCAGGACAGTCATGAGGAGCTAAGGCGGAACAAGGACTGTTTCTAGTTACATCTGTCTTTCTAACTCTTCAAAACTTGAGTGCCTTAAAACCAACTCACTTTGGCTGAGCCAAAAATGGATGCTGTCTGCAGTTCCTTGTCATCATCCTCTTTCCGTGGGTGAATAACCAGAGTCACGTGGCAGCTGTTGTCGGTAGCAAACTTCCGAAAGGCTCCAACAATGTAGTCTTGAGCTGCAATCCTGCAGCAATGAAATTCAGCAATAGAAGAGGTTACTGGGTGGAACACGCACACTCTTGAGCCAGACCCTCCATACAAACAGTTCCCAGCCCTGTTACGCTTTCTTCTACTTAAGGATTCACACTCAAGTCCCTGGACAGCTTCATGAGAAGAAAAGTATGTTTAAGATAGATAAGAAGAATTCACCTGTCTGTAGAGAGCTGCTCATGACCCATCATGAACTGCAGGTTGTCAATGACTACGTGACAAACATCATAGACGTAGACAGCATGTTGCATTGTGTCTATTACAGACCTGGGAGAGAGAAGCAGCGATTTAAATAGTTAATTATACTCTAAGGGGAAGAGCTTGCATCCCGAAAACACATGATGGTCTACTTTTCTGATTTCCCATTCTTTGAAAACCCCAAGCCTGTCTAAAGAGACTGAGAAAGCACTCTTACTGGAGACAGAAAGGAAATCAAAAATATTATGTGATCTCTCAGAAATGAAAGTAAGGGCCAGGTATGGTGGTGCACACCTTTAACCAAGCACTCTAAAGGCAGAGGAAGGTGGTTATGTGAGTTCAGGACCAGCCTGCTCTACATAATGAGTTCCAGGATAGCCAAGAGCCATCTAGAGAGACTCTGCCTCAAAACAAACAAATAAATAAAATGTAAAGAATCTTCTTAAAGAGTAACTGGACTCTGAAGACCTTACCTGATGCTCTGCTGCCCGTGGAAAGTCATGAAATAGAGAGGCAAGTCCTCAAAGCGGTCTGCCCACTCTTCATACTTGTCCAGCTGTTCTTCCAGGCGTGTCACAGCAAACTGAGTCAGCATGACCCGGGCTAGTCTCACATTGCTGATCTCAAAGCTGCCCCACAGTGTGTTCACTCCCTGGGTACACAAATCCAGGGCGTACTCACTGATGAATGTTGTCTTTCCGCTGCCTGTTGGCCCTGTAAGGGGGATGGACACAGCTCTGGGTTATGAGGAAAGTCTGGCAGCATGTAGGAGGCAGAGGCAGGCAGATCTCTGAGTTCAAAGCCAGCCTGGTCTACAGAGTGAGTTCCAGGACAGCCAGGGCTACACAGAGAAACCTTGTCTTGAACAAAACAAAACCACCATCCCCCAAAAAAGCCCCAAAACAATCAAATAAAAAAAAAAAAAAAAAAAAGGAAAGTCTGGTCCTTGATTCAAGATTCTGCCCAAAGTTGGGAAGGAAGCCTCCTTTCACCATGCCATCAGGGGGCTGCAGAGATAAAGCAGTAGTTATGAGCACTTGTTGCTCTTACAGAGGGTTTGATTCCCAGCACCCACATGATGGCTCCAACCATCTGTAAGGCAAGTTCCTGGGGATATGATATGACTTCTGGCCTCTGAGGGCACCATGCACACATGCTGTGTGCACACGCACATACGGGCAAAGCATTCATACACACAGTAAATAAATCTAAAAAAATTAACTAAACATTGCCCGTGGCCAAAACCCACATACTTTTGTTACCGTATTGTTTAATCCGTTACTTGAAACAGTGATTTAAAAAAAAAAAAGTATTATTTTTATGGGTATGTGTGTTTTAGCTGCATGCATGTCTGTGCATCATATGCATGCCTGGTGTCCTTGGAGGTCAGAAGAGGCATCAGATCCCCTGGAACTGGAGCTACAGACAGCTATAGTGTGTGAGTGCTAGGAACCGAACTCTCAGCAAGAGCAGCCAGTGCTCTAACCACTGAGCCATCTCTCCAACCCTCCAAAAAGTGATTTCATAAAGAATCACCTGTAAAGACCGTCAGCTCGCCCTTCCGATGCCCTTTCAGTAGACGATTGAGGTCTGGAAAGCGGCCCCAGCGGACACCAGCTACTTCCTCCACATTTGATAGTTCTCCTAAAACCTCTTCACGGAGCTGGCGGAAAGACACGATAGACTTGTGCCAGGCAGGGAGGGCAGTACGAAGAATACGGGAAAGACTTAAGCCTTGGTTTAAAGCCTCCAGGGGACGAGGTTGCTGGTTCCCAGGCCTCACCAAAGAGCACCGCTTGGGGTTGAGTTTTCGGGCAAACAGTTTGGCAGCTTCCCAGGATCGAAGGTCATCCCCCAGCCAGAAGACAATCCGGCGGAACTGTTCAAGGTAAGGGAGTAAGGCTGGGGGTAAGCAGACAGTCCCTCGGGGTAGGGAGAGGGTGGGCAGCCCCGTGGCCTGGCTCAAGGCCAGGCTGTCCAGCTCACGACTTGTCAGGACCACTTCAGCATCTCTACGGCCGATCAGTGGTAAACCAAATAGGTTGTGATAGGCACCAAGCCGGGGAATGGTGGTCTCCATGTACTTAACTCCATTCTCCTGACCTTCAGCCCCTAGTAGCTTCAGGCCACGTAATCCTGAGCTCCCAGGCATGAACCAAGGGAAGACCAGACTTCGAGCAGAGCGAAGGTATCGGACACTGAACTTCCTGAGTGTGTCATCAGTCACCTTGGTAAGGCCAAACATGACACGAGCCAGCTGGGCTTCCTCAGGGTCAGGCAGTTCCCAAAGAGGTATGGTTCGGTTCCATATTCTCAGGACCTCCTCCCTGTCCTCAGACTCTGGGCCCTCAGTAAGTAGGGCTCCTTCTCGGGTCCCATCCCCTCGTCCCTCCACACAGGCCTGGAAGTCTTCCCAGCTCCCCTCTGCTAGGCTGCTCATGCAAAGAAAGCGTCCTGTGGTCTTGTCAATGAAGAGGTGGAAGGAAGTGGTAGCATCTTTCTTCTGATCTTTGATGTCTGTGGACCCCACAAAGGGGCTTGGTGCTCGAAGGCAGCTGTGGCCATCGTGGAAGGGGATCCCATGCGCTCGTAAATACTGGCGGATCTCAGTTGTAGTCACAGGCGACACTGGTACCTCTAAGGCTGGGAGGGCTTCCTTTCTGTACCTTCTACGGGGAGGGCCTGGAGCCAGGCTTCGGGGCAGGCCCCTCCGACCCATCCATTCCCCACGCAGTGGCAGCAAGATCCGGAGGGGATATGCCCGTCGGAGGAGAAGCCACATTCCTAATGGAGTGGGATGTCACTTCTGCTAAAAATTTGGTGCCTGTTTTGGTGCCTTCAGTAGGCCAGACCTACGAACCTTCCACAAGGCACTCACCGGACTCACTATAGCCGGCTTCTCTCTTTATCTTTCCTCAAACTTCTCCTTAACGAACACAAGGCTTGATCCCTTTGGCTGCTGTGCATTGCTACTTCACATCTTTGCACCCCTACACGACCCTGTCACGTCTACGTCCCTCTGAAGACTCTCATATCCGTCCTTTACAATTTCTCTCCAGCACCTCACTTCTAGGGCCTTCTACGGTCCCTCAATCTAAATGGCTTCTCTGTATCATCTCCTCACGTCTACTAACCCTCTACGGACTCTCCTCGCCAATCTCATCTCCACAGCTCTCTGCATCCTGTCTGAACCCGAACTCCAGGCGCTTACTGGGGCGTCCACACAGCTGGAGGTCACGAGCTGAGGCCCGGCCTCCTCACTGCCTCCGGGGTCTTGCCTCCGCCTCAGGAGCTCCACGCTCCCGCCCCGAGCTTCGCGTCACCACGCCACTTTCTACTCTTCTGCCCGCAATGTGGGTCGCCAGCACGCGCCTCTCGCCGTGACCTCGGAAGCAAAACTCTCCCGGGCGTCCACGGTCCCAGAACCGGAAGTCGCTGCTCAGCCCCGCCCTCCCGTTCACCGTCCGGACTACCGAGAGGTAGCCATGACTGCGCGCGGGACTGCGAGCCGCTTTCTGACCAGCGTCCTCCATAACGGGCTTGGTCGCTACGTGCAGCAGCTGCAGCGCCTCAGCCTCAGCCTCAGCCGGGATGCGCCCTCGTCCCGCGGCGCCAGGTGAGGCAGCGGAAGCGGAAAGACCGGAGTGGGGGCGGGGAACGGAGGGACCGGGTCCCGGCCACCCCACTCACCTTCGCTGGGTCTCGCAGGGAGTTCGTGGAACGCGAAGTGACGGACTTCGCCCGACGGAACCCTGGGGTCGTCATATACGTGAACCCGCGCCCGTGCGCGGTGCCCAGGATAGTGGCAGAATACCGTGAGTGGGGCCGGGCGAGGGCGGGAGGGCGGAATCCCGGCTTGCCGGCTGGATTGTACTTGTTTGACTTCTGACCTGGCCGCTTCTGCTCATTTCCTCGTCCCTCTGCCAGTTAACGGGGCTGTGCGCGAGGAAAACATCAACAGCAAGTCGGTGGAGGAGATCACGTCGCTGGTGCAGAAGCTGGCCGAGCAGTCCGGCTTGGAGGTGATCCGCATCCGCAAGCCCTTCCACACGGATAACCCTAGCATCCAAGGCCAGTGGCATCCCTTCACCAACAAACGGACAGTCCCCCGCGGGCTGCGTCCCAGAGAACTTCAGGATCCTGCTCCAACTTCGGTACATGCACAGTGAAGAAGCAGACTTTGGGCCGTGAAAGTGATAGGATTGGTTCCTCTTTCAGATTTCAAGCTCAGGCAAATAGGTGGAGCCTGCTGAGGGGGCCGTGGCCCGAGAGAAAGAAGAGCTATTTCCATTGCCCACTACTAGGTACCTTGTGAATACCCTAATTCTGATTCAGGTAGCCTCCTTGCAAGCAGAGATATGAGAAAACTTTCATGTGTTGTACAGGGACTTTGTTTTCTAAAATCCAAATAATGATTTCAAAACAGTGAAGGATCTTGAGGCTGTCTCCTGAAGGACTTGTGATGTCTTGCTGCTCTTGCTGTGGCCTGGCATTGGGCAAGGCACCTTATATTTGTCAGTGTTTTGTGCAGACGGATTTAATCCCAGCACTCAGGAAGCAGAGACAGGCAGATCTCGATGAGTTCGAGGCCAGCCTGGTCTCAATGAGAGTCCAGGAGAGCCAGTGCCTCACAGAGAAACCCTGTTAAACCGAAAAGAAAGAAGGGAGGGAGGGAGGCCCAGCTAGACCTCAGTGAAAGAAAGAAAAAAGAAAACTAAGGTGGTTCTCAGTGGCAGCACACTCCTTTAATCACAGCACGTGGTTGGCAGAGGCAGGTGAATGCCTGGGCTACAGAGTGAGTTCTGGGACAGCCAGGGAAAATGAGACCACATTTGAAGCCTGAATTAATTAATTAATTAATTAATTAATTATCATGTGTATAGGTATTTTGCCTTGCATGTATGTCTATGCATCACTTGCTTGCATTGCCCATGAAGGTAAGAAGACAGTTGTAGGGCTACATGGAACTGGAGTTACAGTTGTGAGTTGCCAGGTGGGTGCTGGGAATTGAACCTGTGTCTTCTGAAAGAGTGGCTAATGCTCTTAACCACCTGAACATCTCTCCAGCCCCTCAGAAAAGTACACTTCAAAATGTGTACTTTTCAAAATAGCATCTCACTATGTAGCTCTGGCTGTCCTGGAACTGTATGTACACCAGGTTGGCCTCAAACTCACAGAGACCTGTCTGACTCTCAAGTGCTGGGACTATAGTGTGCAACACTGTATCTGGCGCAAAATGTGTGCATATTTTAAGCATACACACTTTTGATTCTAAAACGAGAAGCAGAACATAAGACCTTTCAATGGTTAGTGTCAAAGGGGATGTGACTTAAATTCTCAGAGCAAGTCCCAGATCACAAACTTCATTTAGTCCTAACTGCACTCCTACCCCAAAATTCTTTCTACAAAAATGAACCCATGTCCTTCCCTGTATCAAGGAATGGGAAGTGCTGAAAAGTTTCTTAGGGAAGAGCACAAGGACTGGCAAGAAGTATCTTCCAGGCCCACTTTAAACAAGGCAGGGGGGAACTAGAGGGATGGCTCAGGTTAAGAGTACTGGCTGTTCTTCCAGAGGACTCGGGTTCAATCTCAGAACCCACATGGCAACCAACATCTGTAACAGTTCAAGGGGACTTGACGCTCCTGGTGTCTGAGGACATCAGACAAAGGGAGGTGACCACGGAATGGACACGCCTTGGTGTGATGCTATAATTTTAATGACCAGCATTCAAAAGGCAGAGGCAGCCAGGTAGATGAGTTCAAGGCTTGCCTATTCTATGTAGAGGGTTCCAGGCCAGCCAGGGCTACTTAGTGAGACCATGTCTTTAAAAAAGAAGAGAGGGGCTGGAGAGGTGGCTCAGAGGTTAAGAGCTCTTCTGCTGGCTACTCTTCCAGAGGTCCTGAGTTCAATTCCCAACAACCACATGGTGGCTCATAACCATCTACAATGAGATCTGGTGCCCTCTTCTGGGTTGCAGATAGAACACCATGTAATAAATGAATAAATCTTTGAAGAAATAATAAAGAGAAAGGCAGGCTGGGGAGATGGTTCAGTAGGTAAAGACAGTCATTGCCAAGCCTCACAACCTGAGTTTGATCCCCAGGATTCATAGTGGAAAAAACAAACAGATTGTCCTGAGTTGCCCTCTGACCCCCACATATACACACATTTTTTTTTTTTTTTTTTTTTTTAAAGCAAGGGGCTGGTATGCTAGTGTATATCAGTAGTTCTGCATATCCAGGATGAGGGAAGGAGGATCACTTGAATCCAGGAGTTTGTGACCAGCCTGAGCAGCAGTGAGCTCACTATCTGAAAGAAAAAGCCAAAGGAAGACCAGGAATATACAAGACTGGGAGTCTTGTGTCACCCTCATCATTATCAATGAGTAAGACAAGCCTTGGCCAATGGCTCTTGTGCCTGCCCAGCTCAGCAAGGGCAGATGCAGGGGCTCTTATTCCTTGTATAAATGAGGACATTTCTGGGGTACCTCCATAGGCCAGAAACCTGTCCCTGATAAGCCAGTCTAGACCAAGCAGACACTTAAAGCTGTGGGGAAAGAGGGTGTTTATTAACCATCAGGAGGAGCAGTGCCCAGGCTCCCTGTTCCATCACATGCCTTCTCCACCCACCTGGGTGATGAGTGGGGTGGGGCAATCCTGAAGAAGTACAGCCATTCTCACAATAAATACATTCATTGTGGGGTGAAGGTGGGAGAGGGATGGGTGAAGGGCAGTAAAAACTCGTGGGGCTCCACGTTCTCAGCTATAAAAATAACAGTCATCCTCACCCAAAGGGAATGGGAGAGCTCAGTCAGGGTTGATTGTCCCATATGGGCCTGAAGACGTGGGAGGCCCTTGGACCTTGAAAGTGCCCTGGTGAGGTAGGACAGGAGTGGGAGCCAAGCATCCAAACTCCCAGCCTCTGCCCTTTGCATAGTTCCAGGAATGGGCTTCATGTGCCAGGTGAGATACCAGATCACTTCCCCCTGCTCTGGCCTAGGAGGAGCAATTGCTTGGTCCCTTAGAGGGAGGCTGGCTCATAGTGCAGTGTTGGTCACTTTTGTCCTATTTCTGTTGTGAGGACAGCTAAACAGGAAGGGAAATCTCCCTTTGAAATATCCATGGACCAAACCTAGCAGACACAGGTCTGACTACGGCAGCAAGGGGAGGTTCCGAATGTGCATGTAGGTGGAAATGTAAGCACAATATGGGCGTGTCACCACATGTGCATGGGAAGAGGACATGCCTGGAGCTCTGGCACCCTTGCATGTGAATGGGGGTGGGGAGGCTGGCTCATAAGGGCTACACAGGAAGGGAGAAGGGGGTGATGCTTCTTACCTCCCAGGCTGGCCTGCTCCCAGTCTCCTGCCAGAGGATTACCACATGGGGTGGAGACTGGAAAGGTGATGGGAAGGTGACATTGGAAGGGGACCCACTTAGGAAGGATGGATGCACCAGGAGGGGAAGGGCACTGCAGCCCAGCTGACAAACACTCTTCCATGTGCACATGTGAACGTAAGCAGGTGGCCGGGAGAGAGGTCTTGTCTGATTCAGGACTGCCCAGCGCACAGCTGTGCCGAAGGTGGTGACATTGAGGCCATCTGGACCTGCAGAGCCCTACCTGAGAAGAAGAGGAAGGTTGGGTAGATAACGGGCTAAGAAGACAGTCCTCTCCTCCCAAGCTTTTAGGTCAGGGGATAAAAACTGGGTTGGGGTCCTGAGGGAGCACCTACCTTTGAGGAGCACTGATGGGCCTGGGCTGCTCACATGTATGTCTTGGAAACTGAAGAGGGGACTTTGGCTAACCATGACTCTGGCCAGCCCTACAGAGACATCAAAAAAGCTGGAAGAAGGGCATGGAGTTGGGAGCATGAAGGAGGGAGGCTGTGTTGGGGAGGCGGTGGCCCAGCCTGGGGCAGAGAGGCTGCCTTGGAAGAGCATCTTTTGGGGGAGGCCCAGCTCAGACAGAACTCTCATCCAGCTGCTCTACAAGCTGGGTGTGCTTCCTCTTCTCCAGGATGCGGCTGAGCTCCTCTGCGAAGGAGCAGGGTCCAGCTGGCACTCCATTGTTGCTCTGCCTCAGGAGCACGTAGCTGTTACCATTCATCCTTCGCAGACGGCTGGGCAGTGCCACCAGCCCGTTGGTCAGCTCAGCCGGTGGGGGTGGGGGTGGTGGGGGTGGTGGGGCTGGGGCTCCTTCCCCAGGGATGATCTGGAGGCAGCCACTCTCCAGACCTCCAGCTCCCTCCCCGTCATCACCTTCGTCTTCCTCTCCAGGACACTGGCCTGAGACTGTCTGCAGCTGCACAGCTGAGCCCCCTGCCCGGCCAGCCCGACCCAATGAGTATTTCCGTCTGCGACCTCGTCTGCCTCCCCGCAAACAAGCCACATAGAGGAGGGAAGAGGCCAGAATGAGGCAGAGGCCACCAAGTATAGCAATGGCCACCACATAGAACAACCTCATGTCCTGTGCCAGCTGTGCCCCGGCCGTGACAGGGGCTTGTGGAGCTGGGGCAGGGGTGGCTGGACGGACAGTGAGGCTGTAGGAAGCCAGCAGCATACGCAGGCCGTTCTCCTCAGCATAGCAGCCATAGATGCCACTGTGCTCCAGTTGTGTGTCTGTCACCAGCAGCCCATCCACCCCCACGCGGTAACCATCCAGCCCATCACTCAGGCTCTTGCTCCCATTGAGTAGCCACAAAGCCCGGGCCAGGTTAGATGGCTGGTCACAGGGCAGGAGGACATCATCACCCCGGAGCACAGAGCGGGTCTTCAGTGGTGGTGGTGGTCCTGCAGAGGATGGAGGAGGAAAGATCAATATCTGCCCATCCCAGACATCATTGCAAATGGCAAGATAGACAGCAGACAGCTAACTTCCTGGCTGTCTAGAAGCACCAAGTCTAGAATTGGTGACAGCTAAGCAAGCCTGTGGGTGCATGCTTCCCAGGGGCACACTGGCCCTTCCTAGGAAGTAGACAGTGGCAGTGTCGCCCGTAGCTCCTCTCCCCTGGGCTTCAGTTCCCACCAGTTACCAAGGACTCCTAATCTTACCTTCAGCACAGTTGCTTTTCCTGAACACACAGACTTAAATGTTTACCACGTGCTGAACATCTTGCTCAGGCCAAAACCTCATTCATAACCACACCAGGTCCTGTCTTTGAATTGCTACCACCAAACAGCTGCTCAGCAGTTTGCATCAGGAACCCAGAAGGCTCCCTTGCCTCCCTTCCTCATCTTTATGTCTACCCTCACGAGACTCTCAGAACTGTTCGCTTCTTTCCTTCTATGGCTGCCTGCCCTCTAGGGCCCTCATTCAGTCTTTTCTTGCAACTACAGGTGATCCCTTGAAAACACAAATCTAGACTGAGGAGATCAGTCAGTGAGTATAAGTGCTTGCTCCAAGCTTGACAACCTGAATTCAATCCCTGGAATCCCACATGTAGGAAGGAGAAAAGCAACTCCCATAAGGTGTTTTACACGTAAACATCCATGTCACACACATATACTTGTGAGCAAAATAAAATTTTAAAAATCTGAATACAGGAGCTGGAGAGATGGTTCAGTGGTTAGAGGAGCCACTTGCAGAGGACCCGAGTTTGGCTTCCAGCACCCATGTGCTGGTTCACAGACATCCATAACTCTGGTTCCAGGGGATGCAACACTCTCATCTTCCTTCCATGGACACCAGTCATGCATGTAGTTCACATACATACATGCAGGCAAAATGTACTCATAATATATATATATATTTTTTTTAATTTAAAAATACAGGGCCGGCCAGTGGAGGCACATGCCTTTAATCCTGTCACTCAGGAGGCAGAGGCAGGCAGATCTCTTTGAGTTTGAGGCCAGCCTGGTCTATAGAATGAGTTTGAGGACAGCCAGGACTACACAGGAAACCCTGCCTCAAAAAAAAAAAAAAAAAAAAAAAAAAAAATTGTTTTAATACAAATCCAATCATGCTTCTCCTTAGTATAAAACTCTTCAGAGGTTTTCCTCTTGCTTTTCATGTAAGGACCAAAACTGTGGACATGGACCCTCCTCACCCCTCTAGTCTTTTCCCCTAAGCCCCCTCATCCTGCTGACCCCCCTGCCTGAGTGTCATCACCCCGCCCATGCCCTCCACCTGCCTGGTTAGCTGGGACATGGCTCAGCTTAGTGAGCAAAAGCACAAACTTGAATCCAACTGCTTCAGGCCAGGTCGATTCTGCCCCTGCTGCTTGGCAGCTGAGTTACCATGAACAGTTTCCTTATATTCCCTGGGCCTCAGAGGGGACCCTCATGGGAACGACAGTGGTGCCTCTCATGGAGTATCACGAGAATAAATGCATGGAGGTATTGGGCTCGGCACGTACGTTCTCAGTGCACGCTAACTCTGATTACTGACTTCGGTTCTTCCTTCAGAGACCAGCTCTGCTACATGATGTTTGTTTAGAGAAAAACACATCCTTCTGCACCTTGTTGCAGTTGCAATTATTAATAATTACAGTTTTTTGTGTTTACATCCCCCCATGACTTAGGCATATGCTTTACATGTGATCATATAACCATAACTAACTCGTTAACTGCCCCCAACATATTTGTGTGTGTGTGGCACGTGCTTGCACACATGTTGTGTGTTGCTGGAGAACAAATCCGGGACCTGCCTTTACACCAGCCATAAGCTACCTCCAATGCACCTGTCTCCAAGTCTTGGGCCTATTTCCTCACTTACACTGTATTTGGGAAATAAGCATCCACTGAGCACTTACCCCGTGCTGGGTCAACCTCTCCAAAACCACACAAGCACATAACCTCAACATCCACACAGGTCCATGAGTTCCACCTACCTGTATCCCTGCCGTCCTCACAGCCTCGATTTCCTCTCTCTATGTCCTGTATCAGTGCTGTCCTGGGGACAGAAAATAAAAAATCATGAACAGACGGATAGCAGGGTAACTGACGTCAGTGCCCATCCCTTCCTTTCCCCACTTAAGGCACAATTACCCCATCCCCACTCCCAGCCTCTACCCTGGAACCTGTTGGCTATGGTGGTGGCCACCATGCAGGCCTGGGTGCTGGAGTCCCAGCCACAGTAGGGGTCCCGTGCCAGGATGCAGTCGTAGCAGGAACGGTAGCGTGAACAGCCGGACAGAGGGAACTGGATGACTCCGCTAGCAGCCCCGACGTACAGGCTGTGCTGGAACCAGAGAGGACAGTTGGTCAGCAGCCCCCCATGGGGAGGCTTCCTCTCAACCTCCCCAGTCCCTTTCTGTTATATTGACACCAGAAGTCAGGTCTACCTGCATTGGAGAGATAACTAGATTGTCCACAGCCTGGGGCTCCCTGAACACTTGTATCTCTTCGATAATGTGCATCCCAGAGCCCAGGACTACAGCCTTGTGGATCCAGCCATCAGCTGATGTAGAAAGGACACAAGTCAGAACCTACCAGTGTGATATGCTCTCGGTACCCGACAGGAGGCCTAACGGGAACAGCTCAGGAATCAGAAGATTAGGGACACAGAATCAGCCACCAGCAGTGGCTTCCTCAAGACACAGGGCACCCCAGGCCAACATGGCAGGAACTGCTGTGTTCAGGAGCATCAGTAAGCAAGGCCATTAGGGATGAGGGATTTGGGTCAGATGCACCTGTGCCCAGAAAGAGGAGGTCATAGGTGGGTCCAGCCGGCGTGCTGACGTGTGTTCCTGTGAGTTGTGTGTAGCGTACATTGCGCTTCAGCAGCAGGGGCCGCCCACGTGTGGGCACCACAGGCCGAGCCATCAGTGGATGCAACTTCACAAAATCCAGAACCAGGGATGGCAAGTCTTGGGATGAGTTGTAGCCTCGGCTGCGCAACGAATCTGTGATGCACTGGGTTGGGGGATGGGTGGTGAGCCTCCGGGCTTCACCACCTGCCTTCCCAACCAGGGCTTTGTCTACTCAACATAGGCTCCAGGCCTGGGTGCTCACCGAGCCAGGCCTGGGGTCAGGCACCCCACCCTCATAGCGGCCCCAGCGCCGGGCACCATCCTGGTACTCCATGAAGGGGCCTGTGAAGACAGCCTGCATCTCAGCCAGGTCATAGCGGCAGATGGCTGAAGCCTCCAGGGTCTTCCTAGGAATGAGACATCGGAGAGGACTGAGGGGAGGCTACCCCCACCCCATGCTCCATCTGGAGCCACTGTTACCATGGTCCATCTCCACTGTAGGCCCACGGCCCGTCTTGTGCATCAGTGGGCCACAATGCCCTCTGGCCTTAGGAAAGCTTGACAGGCCTGACCTCGTTTTGCAGAGAGCTCTTCCCCAGCTCATCTCCGACCTCAGCTCCAGCCCTTAAAGCTCTCGGTTCCTTTCCGTTCACACCCGCCCCGCTTACCACTGTGTTGTCAGTGCGAAGACTGCATAGAAGTGTGTGTGGGCCGACGAGTCGGCATCCAGGCTACAGACGCCCCGCAGCATCTCATACTGTGGAATATGGCAGATGAGTCGAGCCTTCAGGAAGGATGTCCACTTCTTCTGGAGGATCTTTTTCCCTCCCAGATCTCCCTGGGGAGGTGGGGACACAAGATCAGGACCAGAGGTCTATAGCCTCTCCCCACACCCTGCCTTCATCATCCGCACCTTGCACACGCGGGCGACTCTAGCTACACGGTGGCTGCTGCGACCCTGACTGAAGCTGCTGGAGCCTTCCTCACGTTCCATGAAGAAGAAGTAAATCTTGTCATCGTCACCCACTGCACTGGCCTTGCTCTCCCGAACCAGCACAGAGAACACAAACTCAGCATCTGTGGGTTGAGTATTTGGGTGGCTTATGGAACAGGCTGAGCCCTCTCCCGAAGCCACGCCCCTTCCACAGCCACGCCCATTCCCTCAGCCTCCTTCCATAATACGCAGGTGTGGAACGGACAGGCCCACCTGGAGACTTGGGAATGGGACGGTCAGCTACCCAAAGGAATAAATAATGAGAAGTAGACCCCTACCCCCCATCCTCCTAACCATTGAGCCAGTGCATAGGTGCTTCCTCAGTTCTCAGAGAGTGTGGGTGGCGGCTCCGACGGATGTCAGGAATGCTCCGGAATTCATACCGTGTGGCTGTGTAGAGGCCTCCATCTGGGGCAGGGAC